TCCAGTCAGCTCCTGTCATGACGGACTGATGGGAGCACTTTATACCAATGGGGCCCACCTTAAAGCAGCTACAACATCAGCTTCCCCGCCCCCAGCACAGCAAAGCATCCCCCAGGGGGCGGGGGAGGGAATCTTAAAGCCAAGGCAGGAGAGCTGTCGGATTCTAATGGCATTCCTTTTTGGTAGTACTTGAACTAGATTAACCAACCAACAAGTAGTTACTAAGTGCCTACTATGCGCCTGGCATACAGATACAATGAAATAATCCCTACCTGCAAGAAACTTACATTCTTTTTTTTTTTTTGGCTTGGCAATGGGGTTAAGTGACTTGCCCAAGGTCACACAGCTAGTAAGTGTTATGTGTCTGAGGTCACATTTGAACTCAGGTCCTCCTGAATCCAGGGCCGGTGCTCTATCCACTACGCTAACTAGCTGCCCTAAGAGGCTTACATTCTAATGGGGAAGACATCAAGTGTTATATTTGTGCTTGGATAGCATAAATACCAAGTGTAGGTATGTATAAATACATGTGTACACACACACACACACACACACACACAAAGTGAATACATGTAAAGTAGCTTCAGAGTTGGGGGAGGGGATGAGGAAAAGCTTCCTGTACAAGATGGTGGCCAAGCTTCATCTTCAAAGAAGAGAAGTACTCTGAGGCAGAGGTAAGGAGAGGGTGGATGGATGGCTAGTGCTATGGAGTCCTTCCAGCTCGAAAATTCTGTGATTCAGTGATTTTGAATTCAATTTCCCCCATCACATGTGTCACTGTATGTACTATTTTGATTTAACTGTTTTCCTTTGTTAAAAGAGGGCTCAATGCAGACAGGTAGGGGTAAGGAGGGGCCGGGAAGGGAGGCACTTTCAGAAATGACTTATTTCCCAAGAAAAGGCATGACTAAACCTTATTTTTAAAAATGAAATCCTTCGATCACATCACTCTCCTGGAGTTCTCAACCTCATCTCATCTGACTCTTTGCTGGGTATCATTAGCACCAGTCAGACAAACAACAGTTCTTTCCACACAGTAGGTGTGCTGGCAAACATCTATGACTTCAAATGAATTTTGTGCACAAGATGGTGCACCTGGTACAACCTCTGGCAGGGGAAAGTAAGAAGGTACCCAGGATACCTTTAAGTTTAATGCACATAATTCACATTTTCCCCATTATTTTCTTCAGCCCAGACAATCAATAGAATAATTGACCAAGCCAGATATGTAGGGTTTGCTGCTTCCTGAGGTATAAATGTTCATACTGAAAACTGAATGATGGGTTCCTGAGCTGGCCAGCACACACGACTCTCCCCACAAACCTCCTTCCCCCATTCACCTCCTACCACGTGGAACTAATAACCCTCTGCCCACTCAGAGTGCCTTCGCCCTTCTCTGCCCAATCAGAATCCTACCCATCTCTCCAGGCCCAATTCACGCTCCCTAACCATTCCAGGAGACAGCTATTTCTTTTACTACTGACCTCCTACAACCCTCCTGTGGTTAATAATAGCACATGTGCACGTGTGTGCATGTGTAAGTTTAAGGTTTCCAAAGCACTTTACATATCATCTCTTTTGATCCTGACAATAACTCTGTGAAGTGGGAAATAATAGATGGGGAGAGGGGGAAACTGAGGCTGAGTTTAAGGGACTTGACCAAGGTCACACAACTAGCCAGCGGCTGATGTAGGATTTGAATTTGGGTCTTCTCGATTCCAAGTTTAGCACACTATGCATCATGCCACCTAGCTGCCCATTTCCTGAATCACAGCTGGACAGAAAACCAGAAATCTTCTAATGAAATCCCTTCCTTCCACCTGTGAGAAAGCTGTGCTCCAGAGGAGTGGAGGCTCTTGCTCAAGTCTCACCAGGGTCAGGTGGAGGCCCAGCTCCAGACTTCCCAGACCTGTCTTTTGTCTATTGCATCCACTGCTGCTCATTTGTATAGACTTAGCTCTGCAGGTGTTTGTCTCCCCTCTCACTCCACCCCCAAGTAGTCTGTAAACTCCCTGAGGGCAGGAACCCCATCTTAAACTGAACCCCACATCCTGCTCCTTGTGGGTGTTTAGTCAATCTACTTGAAATTGAGTCAAAGTTATTCTTGTACCAAGGGTAAGCTTTCAAAACTGGCCACCACAGGTCACTGCCCACAGGATGTCACTTACAAAATAAACACTGATGACGTATGAAGCAGGACATTTCCTGATGTTAGAAATATATACATATAAAACTCACATGAAGATTCATCCTTTGTTGTACCCTAATGTGTGGGGTGCCCTGAGCAGCTGCCTCCCCTGGGTCCAGAATCTGTCAGGTAGATAATGGAGAGGTCAGACGTTTACCTGATTGTACTCCCAAGCCCCCCAAAGGGGAAGGGAAGGGAACTGGCTGGAATGAGTCCCTGCCATATGATGTAGTTGAAGAAACTGGAGAGGTTCCCCTGGAGGACGGAAGATTTAGGCAGGGCATGTCCTCGAGTATTTAAAGAGCTGTCACATGGAACTTTGCCCCTATTGGAAGAGCCAAGAACAAGGGTTGGAGGCTGAAAAGAGGCAAATTGAAGCCTGGGGTCAGGGAAAATCTTCCTTACACTTGGGAAGGGAATGGGCTGGGAGGAGTGATGGGGGGGGGGTCCTTATTGGAGGTTAGGTAACTAGCCTCAGGTTCGTTGGGGGTATGTGCTGACGAGATGGACACCCAGATCCCACCTACCTAAGAAATCCTGGTTTTGTGAAGACTTCACTACATCTTCTTTGGCTCTAAGCACTGTCTTCTGGTAGCTAGTGGGATGTATATGGAGGATTTGCAAGCAGTCTTAAGAACTGTTGATAAGTATCGTGAAGAGTAAAACGCTTATCAAAATATAGTAGAAGCAGTACTGGACAGGAGTCCCAGGACCTGGGTCCAAATCCCATTCCTGCTCCTTAATATTTGTGCAAAGGCAGCCAGATAGCACTGTGGACAGAATGTTGAATGTCAGGAAGACCCAAATTCAAATGTGGTCTTAGACATTAGCTGTGTGACCCTGGGAAAGTCACTTAGCCTGTTGCAGTTTCTTTATCTGTAAAATGGGGATAATAATAGCACTTACCTCCCAGCGTTGTTGTGAGGATCTAATGAGAATATTGGCAAAGCATTTTGCAAACCTTAATGCTTTAGACAAAGGCAAACTAGTATTGTTGATGCTACTTTGAGCAAATCATTTTCATTTTTCTGGGTTTGATTTAACATCTGCAAAATGAAGAGGCTGGACGGGCTAACCTTCAAGAGCCCTCCAATTCTAGACAGTTAATTTTCTGATCTTGAGAAGTAAATAATTTGTCAGAGACCAAAGCTATTACCGCATGGGAGCCTTTGAAATCCCCTCAAAATACCCTATAAGAGTAACATGACTGCACAGAAGTATAAACACCCCCATTCAGTCTTTTAAAAGAAAGTCTTACAAATGATATCTCTTTCTTTTGTCTGCATGGTAATCATATGATAATTTTCCATGAGTGTAAAGGAAGTTGGGGATGAAGGGGGAGAGATCCTTAAAGACCTCAGATTTTATTGACTTTTTAGGTGCATCTGACAAAGACAGCCAGCGAAAAGCATTGTTTCTCTATACTGGGGAAATAAGAATCAGATATTTGCTTCTTATAGGCAAGACCAGAGATTACCAGTGGTAAGGGCCTTAGAGGCCATGTAGACTACACCACTTAATTTACAGATGAGGAAAGGAGACTGAGGTAGGTCAAACTACTTGCCCAAGGTCACAGAATTAGTAAGTGGCAAAGTTGGGGTTGGGTGCAGAGTCTCTAACTGCAAATCCATTGTACTTTCCTCTGTAAAACACTCTTTTGTGGCCAAAGCTCCAGTGTTAGATATCTAACTCTGTGCACAAGAAACACTAAGGCTGGATTCCACAAATCCATTCCTGTAGCTAAGTGAAGGACTTGTGGAGACAGTCTAAAGTGAAATAAGCATTTAGTTTACTTCAATTATCTAGTCATATTAGAGGATGCTCTAATCAGGGGCTCCTTAACCTGGGGTTAACCAGCGCTTAGCACAATGCCTGGCTTTTAATAAATGCTGGCTGTGGTCTCTAGATTTTAACTGTTTTTTTTTATAACTATTCCAAAACAGTTGGCTTCCTTTTGTAATCCTTCATACTTTATAATTTAAAAGCCTTCTGAGAAAGAGCTGCAACGTAGGTTGCATCAGATTGCCAAAGGGTTCTAAGAGTACAAAAAAAAAAAAATTAAGACTTCCTGCTTTAAAAGACAAGGAATTGTCTCAACTTTCCACTTCCGCAGATTCCATTCCCTGTTGTCAAAAAACATTTTGAAAGTTCCAAAAGCAAGCTCAAGCTTGTGGGAAACAGGTCCGTAGTGGGGTGAGCACCTCCTGGCCACTCTTCACACCTCACTCCCCTCTCTACAACACATTCCTCCTCCTCCCTCCTTCCTTCCTTCCTCTCTTGCCGCCGTCATCCCTGGCTTCTTAGTCCAGTGATGGGGGCGATCCCAGCTTGTACCAAGCCCCACTCTAGTCTTCTGGCCAAACTCATCCCCCACCCCCAGAGGAATCCTAGCACCACCTGGGGCAGAGGATGGAAACCTAGTAGAAAAAATCAAAACCCATTTTCCCCACTTAGCAGCCAAACCTCCCCCTCTCCCACCCCCACAATAGGGGAAAGGGTATCTATTAGGGGAAAAAAAAAAGTTGACACTCCGAATTCCCCTCAACTCTCTTTCTTTTCCTCCAACTCCTAATAGTTACTATTAAAAAAAAAAAAGGCAACCTCCCTCTTTCCCTTCTTTCCACCATGACAAACTCCCCCAGATCATCGACTCGTGGCAGAGAGAACGCCTGTTTCGAAAGAGCAGAGAAGCGCCGGGGTTGACCAGTGAGCCTGAGCCGCGACCCTCCAGGGCTTGGCCGCTCTCCCAGCCCCGCAGGAGTCGGGGTCCCTCCCGTCCCCCTTTCTCGGCGGCCTGATGGCAGGCACTTACCCAGGAGGTCCGCGCGCCAAAGTCACGGCTCCTCTATCTTCTCCGGGGCTCCCTAGCTCCCCTCCGACCCGGCCTCCGCTGCATCAGCCTAGGGTGGAGGACGCGAACGTTTGAGGGGAGGAAGCCCTGGGGGGCCGCTAGTGCTGGGGCAGCCCCGAACCCCAGACTCTGGCCGTCCCCGCTCCGCGTCCCGCTCAGCCGGAGTTCCCCTGAAGCCGGGCTGGGGTACGCTCTGGGCGGCTGCCGGCGGCTGCGGATGACTAACCAGGACCAGGTGAGTGGGGGTGTGAATGTGACAGCGCTTAAGAACGAGTAACGAGAGAGCGGATGGGGCCGACAGCTTGGCCTCTTCCGAGGGGCTTCCCTCCCGGCTCAGAGGCTCTATCTACGACTCTCAGACCCGTTACCAAGAACCCCGAGTACCTGTTGGGGGCACTAGCCTAGGCGTCCTGGGACCACAGCAGAGCTGCAGCATTTAGGCCCTGCCCTCAAGAAGCTTACGGTCTAGGGAGCTCTCAGGAAAAAGCTGGCTCTGGGTAGCAGAGGACACGCCGAGCAGCCTGGAATGCTCTCCCTGTTTACCGCCGCCTCCCTGGCAGAACCCCTGCTTCCTTCGAGGCTCAGCTCAAGGTCACCTTTCCAGGTCCCGAGCTCTTCGTGCCCTCTCCTTCATCAGAAGTCCAAGTGTCTTCTAGTCGGTCTCCTCTCTGGTTAAATAAAATCTGCACTCACGTGCACATTATCTCATTTGAACCTCACACGCTCTTAAGTACAGCCTGCCTTTCAGGTTCTGGGGATTCCACTCAGTAAGGTGAGAACGTGTTCAGGTTGCCCACATATTACGGAATAAATAAACCCTAACCCTAAGATTGGGATATTTTTAAATTTTGAAACGAAAATGTGTTCAAATCCCACCGTGTGGCCTTGGGCAAGTCCCTGGGCCTCAGTTTCTCCATCTGTAAAGTGGGGGTTGGGCCAGATGGCCTCTTAGGTCCCTACCAGCCCTAGTTTTGATCTTAGACAGAGGCTATACTATTATCCAGGTTTGAGCCAGAAGGTGGAATCCAACCTCAAACACTGGAGTGACCCTGGCCAAGTCCCTTACCCCCACTCAGCTTCAGTTTTCTCATCTGTTAAATACAATAGATAAAATAATTGGTACCTGTCTCAGCCTTATTATGAGCTCAAGGGAAACACGTGAAGCATTTTGCAAATTTTTAGTGCTATTTAAATACCATCTCTTATTGTTATGATTATTATAATCAGAGAGGAAGAAACTGAGAGTCAGAGGTTATGTGCCTTTTCCATCCACTTCTGTTAATTATTTCCAATTTATCCTGGCTTGGACACAGTTGTCTGTATGTTGACTCCCCCATTAGAATGAGTTCCTTGGGAGCAAGGCTGGGTTTGCTTTTCTGTGTATGTTCATCTCTTAGTGCCTGGCACATAGTACATGTTTATTGACTGACTTACTAGCTACCACCCGGAGTTATGATGATCAAATAAGATAATATATCCTTTTGGGAATCTTAAAGCCCTTTGCAAGGGCTTCCAGCTAGCAAATATTCAAGCAATGATTACAAACTCAGGTCTTGCCTGACTCCAAGTCCCTGCTGTGTAGAACACTGGACTTGAAGACACAGCATTTAAGAACTGTGTGACCTTGTCTAATTCTCTTAACCTCAGTTTCCCCCTCTGTAGAATGGGAACAAAAATAGCATCTTCTGCCCAGGGCTGATGTGAGGAGCCAATGAGATCATGTATATAGAGCCCTTAGTGAACCTTGAAGCTCTTTGTAAATGCGGGCTCTAATTAGTGCTGTCTCACTGGCACCCAGTTGGCTTTCCTTTCCCTCTCATACTTCAGAATGCCCTTAAGTTAAAATGTTAGATGTGGGTTATCAGGGGAGACAAGGTAATTCTATTACCCAAAGGCAAAAGCCTCGTTAATCTAGTCTTCACTAATTCAGAAATTGAGAACATTCAGAAGGGAAGCTGGGTTGGTTTACTTTTGTTCTTGGCAAAAAAAAAAAGTTTGTTAAGCAAATTGAAAGTGTGAGATTGTGAGCATGATAACAATAGCTTGAAGTCCTATAGAACCGAGCTGCTTCAAGTCCTTCCCTCGCCACAACCTGTGAGGTAGGTTGGCAGTAGAAGTGGCAATGCCCCCATGTTCCACGTGAGGCTTCCACATCTCAGAGGCTCTGAGGGCTTCGGATTTAGCCAAGGGACACAGACTCAGGTGTCTTGGCTCCACAGCTAACTCACTTACTTCTGTTACACCCGGGGTGTGCAGGAGCCAGCTGGAACCTGCGTATGAGACCCAAATGTTAAGTTTTCAGCATAAGTATACCTCAGAAATCAACAGAGGCTACAAGATAGGGCTTGATTCATTGTCTGACTGTCTGAATTTAAGAACGTGATGAAGAAAGTTACAATAAAGTATTGAACTTACAGGAATGTTGTTGTATGTACGTATCTCCCTTGCCCCCAGCAAACCGATTGTTAAACATTTACCAGAACACTCCTGGTTCTGTCACTGAATTAATAAAAATAATTTGGGAGGCATTGTCATTTTTATTATATTGCCATGAACAACAATATCTTCTCTTCCTTAGGTCTATCTATCTTCATTTCTCCGATCTTTTATAGACGTGTTCAAATAGTTTCACTATTCATCTTGGTAGTTGGGCTGCTAAATGTTTTATACATTCTCTAGTTAGCTTAAATGAAATTTATATTTCTATCTCTTCCTGCTGGGTTTTGTTGGCAATATATAGATGCTGATGAGTTGTGTGTCTTTTAAATCCCATTACTTTGCTGAAGTTACTAACTAGGCTTCTCTTGTGGCCTATGATATCATCTGCAAAAGAGATACTTTTGTTTCCTCTTTACCTTTATATCCATTTACTTAATTTCTTTTTTGTTCTTATCGCTATAGCTAGCATTTCTAGCACTATGTCAAATACTAGTGGTGATAATGGACATAATTTTAACCTCTGATCTTATTAGAAAGGCATCTAGTTTACCTGCATTATACATACTGCAGGCTCTTGGTTTTAGATGGATACCATTTACTGCATTATGAGGAAAGACCCATTTATTACTATAATTTTCTTCTTTTTTAAAAAAATAGAAAGGAGTGCTGCATTCAGCAAAAAAAAATTCATTCCTATGATCATCTGGTTTTTACTGTTTACAGATTATTATGTTTATAGTTTTCCTAATATTGGACCAACCTTGTATTCCTAGAACAAATTTTAGTGTACAGTCTTTTAAGTATGTTGGCTTAAACTCTATGCTATTTTATTTAAAATTATTTAAAATTGATATTCCATCAAGACTGCTCTCTCCAAAGTTACTAATGACCTTAGTTGCCAGAGCCAGTGGCCTTTTCTCATCTTCACTCTCATATTAATTTGGATTATTGGTCTATAGTTTTCTTTCTCTTTGATTTAAGTATCAAAGTCATATTTATGTCATAGAAAGAATTTGGATCCCTTCTTCTCCCATTTTTTCCAAAACAATGCATTCTTTGAATGTTTGATATAATTCATTCGTAAATCCATGTGGTCCTGAGTTTTCGGTGGGTAGAGTTATTTACGGCTTGCTCAATTTCTTTTTGTGAAATTACATTCTCCATTTCTTCTTTTGTTCACCTGGGCATTTATATTGTAAATATTCACCCATTTAATTTAAATTGTCAGTTTTTTTGACATACAATTGGGGAAATATTCTAAAATAATTCCCTCTATTTTTTCTTCATTTGTTTTGAACTCTCTTTATAAAATTTTTGGTCCTGGCAATTGGATTTTCCTCTTTCTCTTTTTTAATAAAATTAACTAATTGTTTATCAATTTGTAAAAATTTATTTTTATTCTGAACTTAAGAAATAACACAAGCATTTCCATAACAAAGTAGCCTAGAAAAAAAGAGGATCGCACATGAAACTGCAAATCTATTATGTACAATTTGCTTTTCCTTTTAAATATATAATAAAGTTATCATGTAACTTTCTTTTTTTCATCCCTCCCCCCCTTGCTCTAGAGATGGCTAGCATTAGACACACACACACACACACACACACACACATACACACACACACACACACACACATATATATATATATCAGTACTTTCTCTTCATGCAGATAGCATCTTCTTCCCTAGGTTCTTTGTAGTTAATTTGGGTATTTATAATAGTCAAAATAACTTGGTCACTCAAAATTGTTCTTAAAACAACATTGCTAGGGACAGCTAGGTGGCGCAGTGGATAGATCACTGGCCCTGGAGTCGGGAGATTCTGAGTTCAAATTCGGCAGACACATGATACTCGCTAGCAGTGTGGCCCTGGACAAGTCGCTTCAACCTGACTGCCTTGCAAAGAATAAAAACAAACAAACAATACTGCTGTTACTGTATACAACATTTTCTGGGTTCTGCTTGTTTCATTCTTTATTGTTTCATGCAAGTCTTTCCATGTTTTTCTAAGATCATTGAGCTCATCGTTTCTTATAGTACAGTAACATTCCAACACAACCATATACCACAACTTGTTTAGCCGCTCCTCAATTAATGAGCATCCCTGAAATTTCCAGTTCTTTGCCACCACAAAGAGAGCTGCTACAAACATTTTAGAACATATAAATTCCTTTCCTTTTCCCCTAATCATCTTTGGAAATAGACCTAGTGGTAGTATAGCTGGGTCAAAGGGTATAGGCAGTTTTACAACTTGTTGAGCATAATTCCAAACTGCTCTCCAAAATGGTTGGACTAGCTTGCAGTTCTACCAACAGGGAATTAATGCTCCAGGTTTGTCAATTTAAAAAAATAAACTACCTTCCTCTCATATTTATCCATTGAATCCACTAAATTTTTTTGTTTTCAATTTTATTAGTCTCTTTCTTGATTTCCAGAATTTCTGTCCTGGTTTTAGTTATATATATTTTTAATTGTTGATTTTAGCTGCTTCCTCTTTTTCATTGATGAAAATGTTTAGAGATATAAATGTTCACCCTTCAGATTGCTTTGGCTGTATCCCCAAAGTTTCATATGTTGTCTCATAATTTTCTTTGATGAAATTCTCCATTATTTCTATGATTTGTTCTTTAAATCACAAATTATTTGGTATTAAGTTGTTTAATCTCCATTAATTTTAATACTTTCTTCAAAGGCTCTTTAATTGAATGTAATTTTTATTGTGTCGTGGCAAAATAGGGG